GGCCTTTCAAACCAGGTACGGATACTATGAGTTTCTGGTCATGCTATTTGGGCTAACCAACGCCCCAACCATCTTTATGGATCTGATGAACAGGGTCTTCAAAGAATTCTTGGATCAATTTGTTATCGTGTTCATCAATGACATCTTGGTCTAGTCAAAAAGTAGAGAAGAACATACTCACCATCTAGCCCAAGTTTTGCAGGTTCTCAGAAAAAAGAAGCTATATACAAAGTTGAGTAAGTGTGGATTCTAGTTTGAGCAAACCGCCTTTCTAGGACACATCATATCGAAGGAAAGAGTATTAGTGAATCCCGAAAAGGTTAAAGTGGTACTTGGCTAGGAGAAATTAACATCAGTTAAGGAAATCCGTAGCTTTTTAAGAATGACAAGTTATTACCATAGGTTCGTCGAAGGATTCTCTAGTCTAGCGACTCCCCTAACCCGACTCACAAAGAAGAATGCCAAGTTTGAGTGGAATGAGGACTGTGAGAGAAGTTTTTCAGAATTAAAGGAACGGCTGACCACTACACCCGTACTAGCTTTACCGAGTGGATCGGGGGGATATACAGTTTATAGTGATGTCCTTATGTAGGCCTGGGTTATGTCCTAATACAGCATGGGAATGTCATAACCTATGGGTCTATACAGTTAAAGAATCATGAGAAGGATTATCCCACCAATGACTTGGAACTTGCCGCAATCATACACGCCTTGAAAACCTGGCGCCATTATTTATACGGAGAGACTTTTCAGATCTATACCGATCATAAGAGTTTGAAATACATATTCACTCAAAAAGATCTCAACATGCGTCAGAGAATATGGATGGAACTCCTTAAAGACTATAATTGTGATATTTTATATCATCCGGGTAAGGGCAACGTGGTGGCAGATGCTCTCAGTAGAAAAAATGCAGGTATCTTAGCCCATTTGATGGTTTCAGAATGCAGGCAAATTATGGTCACACAACAGGTTCGACTTTAGGACCTGAAGAGAGTCGCATGTTTGGGCAGTCTGACTGTCCAGCCCGAGTTAATACAGAGGATATAGGAAGCCCAATCAGTCGACCCCACCCTAGTAGCCTACAAGAATGATGCAGAATAAGGAGTGAGTTCAGAATTCCGAGTCTCTGCTGATGGGTTACTCCGGTTCCAGGATAGGGTGTGTGTCCCAGATAACAGTGAGTTAAATACAGACACCATGACATAGTCCCATAGCTCGAAGTTTGTCATGCATCCCGGAAGCACCAAAATGTACCAAAGCATGCGACCCCAATTTTGGTGGAATGGGATGAAGAGGGACATAGGTGACTTTGTATCTAAATGCTTGGTGTGTCAGCAGGTCAAGACAGAGCATCAACGCCTAGGCGTGTTACTTCAGCCCTTACCGATCCTAGAGTATAAGTGGGAACATATCGCCATGGACTCCGTAACGGGATTACTCAAGGCACGTTCAGGACATGACGCCATCTGGGTAATTATTGACCGGCTTACCAAGTCTTCCCACTTCCTAGCCATCAGGATAACCGATCCCTTGGATAAGTTGGCAAGAATGTATATCCAAAAAATAGTCAGATTGCATGGAGTTCCAGTGACAGTGATATTCGACAGAGACCCCAAGTTCACTTCTCTGTTTTGGAGTAGCTTTCAGCAAGCCATGGGAACAAAGCTTTCTCTCAGTACTGCCTTCCATCCTCAGACTGATGGACAATTAAAAAGGACAATCCATACACTTGAGGATATGCTCCGAGCTTGTGTCCTTGACTCTGAGGGCCATTGGGACGACCATCTACCCCTGATAGAATTTGCCTACAACAACAGCTACCAAGCGAGCATTGGTATGGTTTCGTATGAGGCATTATATGGGCGCCCATGCAGATGGCCGATTTGTTGGGAAGAAGTGGGCGATCGAAAATTGTTCAGCCCGGAGTTGGTGGAGGAGACCACGTCTAAAATAGTTAAAATCGGAAAGAACATTCAGACATCTCAGAGCAGACAGAAAAGTTATGCGAACACTCGGATGAGAAATTTAGCGTTTGAGAAAGGCGACCGGGTGTTCCTTAAAGTCACTCCTTTCAAGAAAATTAGTAGGTTTGGCAGGAGGAAAAAACTGAACCCCCGATTTATTGGACCATTTGAAGTCTTAGACAGGATTGAAACTGCCGCCTACAGACTAGCACTGCCTCCAGAGCTCTCCAAGGTCCACAATGTGTTCCATGTGTCCATGTTAAGTAAGTACAACCCGGACCTCTCTCATGTCTTGGCTCATGAACTGCTTCCACTCCAAGAGGACTTGTCTTATGAGGAAGTACTAGTCGGTATCACGGACTAAAAGAACAGAATACTCAACAACTTAGAAATATCATTTGTAAAGGTCGTGTGGCAGAACCACACACCAAGGGAGGATACCTAGGAGCTAGAATTAGACTTTAGAGCCTAATATCCTCATTTGTTCGATCAAGAGTAAGAAGCAAATTTGGGAGACCAAATTTCCTTAAGGGGAGAGAGTTGTAACACCCCAAAATGCGGAACGGAGCCATGTGGGCGATCCGTGTGTGCGCGATCGGACAGATGAGATCCGTTTCCGCATGCACGGATGGCCCAGACGGCACGCGTGCGGACGGCCCAGATTGAATCACGCACGGATGACCCAAATCGCATCGTGATGGACAGTCCAGATTCATTTATAATTTAATCGAGATCGGACAGTTCAGATTAAATCATGATGGACGGTTCAGATTAAAAAGGGATGGTTATAAATAATCTCATCCACACCCAACCCCAAACCCTAGCCGCCAGAGCCCTCGCCGAAGAAGACAGCCCAGCCACCAGAGGAACCGACCACCACCACCCGCCGCCGTAACGGAGCACTTTCCGGCCGCTAAACGAGGTAAAATTTCTCCCCTTGGCTCGGATTTCAATGCTGAACCCACCTGTGGCCAAATCGGAGCCAATCCAGCGGCCAATTGGCCAAAAAATACCGCTGAAGCCCAGCGGCGCCGCCACAGGTTTCCTCGGGTTTTGCCTCCGATGAGGCTCTTTCTGATTCCTGTTTGATGTAATTTTTACACCACTGTGACCACCGTCCTTTCCTCTACAGGTTGACCGGAGAAAAATATCAAATCACGACTTGCGCCGGAAGAGCTGCCGTACCCGAGAGCTACACCGTTGGTAAGTCTCAGTTTTCTGTATTTTTTTGGCCCAGTGAGGGCTCTACGTGTGTTTCCTCTCAGGAATTAGTGCTAGTTTGACTGAATTCGGCCAGAAACAGTCGTAAACAGCCAACCCGAGGTGGGTTGCCGCCGTAGGCGGCGGCACCGTCGGCGGAGTTCTAAAATTGGCTGAGGAGGCCCTGGGTCTGATTTGGAGTTTTTTGGGGACATGTGCAGGTACCGGAAGTGTGTTTCAGTTCCCAAAAAAAAAATTTAGGGAATCTAGGGACTGCCCGTAGGCATAGTGAAAAACTGATTTTAGATTTCGAATCAAGTAAGAATCTCTCACCTTATTTCCTATCACGGCTTTAAAACTTAATAAATGATAAAACGGTTTTTTATGAATTAATAGATATGTATAATTAATTAAGATTGCTAATGGAGCTCGGATCTGATATATTTTCGGTCAGTTGCTGTTTTAGTTATTTCACAGTTTTAAATGCATTATGGTATCTTATTTATTTATTTTATAGTTTTGAATGCATGAATCACTGTTTACTTCATTATGGTTTAATCTTGTGAATCCGATGATATGTCTGCATTGTGGATGCTCGTTACTGGTTTAAATATTTATGATTATGAGAACAGAAAACTAAAAAAAGAATTAGAAAGGTATGTGACTTGATAAGTAGATAAGTCGACAGCCTCACTAGATATTTTGGGATATGGTGGACGGACCGGGTCCATAGGGAACCCTACCGGGAACGTTGTCTCTCATACCAGACGGAGTATGGAGACTTTAAATGTTTAGCACTCATACCGGACGGAGTATGGGGATGGCCCGCCTCACCCTCATACCGAACGGAGTATTGAGGTTTATGGTTTTGGCGCCCATACCGGACGGAGCATGGGGACGACCCTGAAGTTAAGTTATTAAGGTGAATGGTTCACGTGTAGCGGGGACCCCTATGGATCCCCATGGATACTGGTATGCTGGTAAAAGAAGAAATTTATTGTCTGATGATTGAAATATTAAAGGTATGACATGTGTTATATTACAGAGTACGTATGATTTCATGATATTATAATGTTATTGTTTTCATAAATTGTTTTCATGAATCTCACCGAGGTAAGTGGACAGTAAATGATTTTATTATTAATAAATAAATTTGTTATGAATTATGCTTATTCCTTACTTAACCATTTCAGATAAGGAAGACTTGGTTCCCGAGCCCGTTCTGCAGGAAAACGGCGAGTAAATGCATAAAGATTTTATATTTTTCCTTATAGTATTCATTTCTAATATTTACTTTAGTTAGCTTATTCTTTCATACGTTTAATACGTTTTTGTTATTCTGTAAGGGATGTTAATCATAATATTTTATTTCACTTCCGCATTTAGAATTTTTTATATATACGTTTTCTTTTAATTTCCGGAGCCGTTACATTCTAGATCTCGAGATTTTATATAAGTTAAAGATGATAAATTGTAACTAATTTTCTTCGCAATTGGGAAGAAATTATTTCGGTTTGTTATTTATATTATCTTTTTATACACATGGATTCAAGTATTAAAATAATTTTAAAAGTAACTGTATAAATAATTAATTTGCAAGTATCTATTAAATTAATTTTTTATGCATATATTAGTTTAATTATGAAAAATAATTCTCGGAACAATCAATTTATATTAATTGCTGAAACAAATTTTACATGTTTTTCAAAAAATTGTTTATTCTTTTATGAAAAAATTTCACTTATTTAGTTTCCAAAATTACCCTCGCAAACATTTCATAATTATAGACATACCCCGTATATAAACCTGCAAACCCTCTCATCTTCTAACAAAACAAACAGACCCTAGCCGCAACCAACCAGCACCTTCCGACCTCCGTGGACGTCTCACGTGGAGGTCACCGTCCTTTCATATTCCTCTTCTTCTCTGTTTAACATTATTCGGCGAGTCCAGAAGCCAGATTCACGTCGAAATCACAATCTTCTCTCGAGCTATTTATCTGGTATGTTTTATTAGTAGCGGTATATTTTTTTTTTGTGTGTACATATGGAGTGATTGCCTGACGTTCATTGTCGTTTGAATACATTCGTTATTTCTGTTTCTTGTAAAATCATCAAAGTTATTAAATTTAATAAAATTATTCGGGACTATTACTGTTTTAAGGCTTGTGACTACCATTGTTTTTTATGGTGAATTGACGTAGTCGGCCTCTGTCTTGTGCGTGTGTTTAAATTGTTTTTTTTTTCTTTTATGCTCAATTTGTTTGGCTTCTGGTATCTGGATTTTGGAGTGTCTGGTGAAACTTGGTGTAGTTTATTGTTTTACTTTATTGAAAAGCAAACAAGGGAAAAACATAGGATTTTATCTTGTGTCCGGTAATTTTTAGCTTTTGGTTTCTGGTTAGTGGAGTTACTCATTGTTTGATATAAGTGTTCGGTGCATTGAAAAAATGGCGTGTTGCTTTGGAAAAGGCGTAAATATGAGGGCTAGCTTTCATCCTGTGTTGACTCCACACGTGAAATTATGAAGTCTGGTAATTAATGATGTATTGTTTGTGCTAATATATATATTATTTTGTAATCTTGACAAGTAGAGATAACATTTTAATAGAACTTAAAATTATTTTGAAAGTTCTTCCTTTGCTGCAGTTATGAGTTGTGTCGCTGTTAAATCAATAAATTTGTTCACGTAATGTAGATGCATGTTTCCTGATCTAGAGTGATTGTAATAAGGTGTGCTTGCAAGACTTTGAAAACTTCCCAGAGATGTTATTTTTTTTCTGCAATTAAATTTCTTCTTGTTGAGCTCTTTCACTATGTCCTGATAATTCTGTTGTTATGGTATGCAACAATGTCTGGAGACAATGACTTTGTTCTATTACCTTGGTTAGTTTAGTTTTGAGCGATATGAATAGCAAGCACTCTTTAATTTCAAGATGATCTCTGTCCAACTTTTTCTTTTCAAATTGCTGGCTGCCATGATATGAATGTTGTATGCAGTTCTAATCTGTACCTGGATATTTTGTTTGTTGGATAATCTCCAGAGTTATCACGATGTTCTCCTCAAAAAACAAAATCCACAAAGATAAGGATGCTGAACCCTCAGAATTTGAGGAGACAGTAGCACAGGTAGGTTGCTCTATTTGGACCCTACTTCTGATGTTCTATTATTAGTCTTGACAATTGAATTCCTATCCTTGTCTCTGCAGGCTTTATTTGATCTTGAGAATACCAATCAGGAGCTAAAAAGTGACTTGAAAGATCTTTACATAAACTCAGCAGTGTATGAATAGTATTGTTCGCCCACCCCATTTTTAACATTCTATTCTCTCTATCTTGGTTTGACTTGCATTCCTGGTGGTATTTGATCCTGCAGTCAGATGGATATTTCTGGAAGTCGCAAGGCTGTTGTCATCTATGTTCCATATAGATTGAGGAAGGCTTACCGTAAGATTCATCTTCGCCTTGTCAGAGAACTTGAGAAGAAATTCAGCGGAAAGGTGTTCCACCAATTACCAGGCCTGTTAGCATTTTTACTGGGAAAAAAGAATTATGAGAATGTGAACTTTGTGATCAGATAACCACCATTCTATGTTTTTAACATTGAAAACATGTTTTTTTTTTAATTTTTGGAGAATGTGATTGCCTTCTAAAATTTTAAACATCATGGATGTAGGGTTGTGTCTTGTTTTTTCCATGTAGTAATTCAATTTCATGATTGTTCTTTCAATTACAACTTTGTTGTCAGGATGTTGTCCTGCTTGCCACCCGCAGGATCCTGCAGCCCCCCAAGAAGGGCTCTGCTGTTCAACGACCACGCTCCCGTACATTGACTGCCGTCCATGATGCCATGCTTGAGGATGTTGTATATCCTGCTGAGATTGTTGGTAAACGCATCAGATACCGCATAGATGGTACAAAGATAATCAAGGTAATAGAATTGAATGGTTTTTCTACTTGACAGTTACCAGCAGAAACATATTCTAAACTGAAGCTTTGATATTAATTTCATTTTCTGAAAACAATTGTGGCAGATTTACTTGGATCCCAAGGAGAGGAACAACACCGAGTACAAGCTGGAGACATTTACTGGAGTTTACAGGAAGCTTACTGGGAAAGATGTAGTTTTTGAATATCCAATTACAGAGGCCTAAAGGGTATGGCCACGGTTATTTCGTTGAATAGATGACTATTCCAAATTTTGGCTATTAAAATTCTGTTTGATGTTTCTTTACATGGATGAATCTGAACTTTATGGGAAGGTTCTCTTTATTTATGTGCATTTTCTGTATCCATCAAAATTTTTGGGTTTTAGAACTATATGCTTCTTCAAGAACTAAAATGTTGTTTGCTTATATATTTGCTGGCAAAAGTATATATATATAAATATATATTCATGGGGTGAGTGGTTTAGGAGCCTATAATGGGCATGTGTTTGTTTTAGGCGGAGTATAATCGACTGCCACCTTCGGTCACCGCCGCCCATCTCAACTTATCGCTGGTTGTTATCAATAACAATTAACCTCCGTTGGCCACAATGTGGTAGACATTCATTCTTTAATTTTTGTTTTATTTTTAATAAGTAAATAATTCATGAGTATTATGTTGAGTTTTAGTAGTACTGAAAATAAAATAAGGTTTACTATTATAGTAACATAGATATCTAATATTATATTAATTACGTATATTTATTTCAAGACATTTCAGTTAAAGGTATTCCGGTGAGTTAGTTATATATATATATATATATATATATATGTACATACATCTTGTCAAATTATAACTGAATACACTTAATAATATGGAAGTGTAGTTTAAACTAATTTATTTTGATAGACAATAATGGTATAAATAATTATAAAACCTGTGTGGGAAAAGAACTAAGTAACAAAATGAAAATTATGAACTAAAAATATAACAGAAAACTACAACAACGATAATAATAGTTTTTTGGACAAATTCACTACAATTTTAATTTTTAACATATTAATTTAATATTTTAAATATTATATTTATTTTAATGAATTTTTTGTATTACTACTTTATTAAATTTCTAATTTCATGGTTTTTCTCTATTAACGTACTTCTCTTTAGGGGGGTGTAGAGGATATTTTTGAGAGAACACTGAAAAATAAGTTCTTAAAATACATGTATTTTGTAACGGTTCCAAAAATTTAAAAAGAAATGCATATAATAATTTGAGTGCGGAAGCGAAATAAAAATTAAAGTTAACATCCCTTACACGATAATTCAAAAATACTAACAAACATTACGGAATAAATTTTCTGAAAGAAATACAAAAAATGAAAAAAAATAAATGAAACTATAAAGTATCTAGTATCTACTCGTAGCTTTCTTGCGGATCGGGCTCGAGAACCGGGTCCTCATAATCTGAAATAGTTAAATAAGGGGTGAACTACACTAACCCAATAAGGACATCACAATATATCGCCGTCACAGAAGAAAAGGTTGGTAGAGAAATAAATAATAGAGCACAAATTTTAAATAAATTTGTTTATCATAAATAAAACTATTTACAGTTCACTTACCATTGTAGAATTTATGAAAACAACCTATAGAGACAATAATATCATACAAATCATAACTTCATGCACAATCAGTAACATAAAACATATCATGAATTTATATTCATTAATAATAACTAATCATTACCGTTTCTCATTTCACCAACCTAGTAGTATCCATGGGGATCCATAAGGGTGTCCTCGTTACACGTGAACCATTTTCCTTAACAATCTTAATTCTAGTGTTGTCCCAATACTCCGTCCGGTATGAGCACCAAGACATTAAACCTCAATACCTCGTCCGGTATGAGGGTGAAGCGGGCCGTCTCCATACCCCGTTCGGTATGAGGGCCAAATGACTAATCTCTATACTCCGTCCAGTATGAGACAACGTTCACGGTAGAGTTCCCTATGAACCCGATTCGTTTACCATCTCCTAGGATATCTAGTGAGACTGTCACCTTATTCATTTATCATATCACATCTCATTCCTGTTTGTCCTTAGTCTTCGTCACCAAATCAAAAAGAAAAATAAACAAGTAAACATGTATCCGACAATGCAATCATATTTTAGATCCCAAAAACAAATAGTTATAAAGTAAAACAGTAATACATGCATTTAAACTATACAATATATAAACCAAATATCATCATACTTTTAGACTGTAAAATAAATAAAACAGAAATTGACAGAGAATAATGTCTAGTTCGGGCTCCATTAGCAACCGTAATTAATTATGCATATTTATTTAATTTGTACAAAATACAATATTATTATTTATTTGAACTTTAATTCAATGATGGAAAATAGGATGAGGGATCCTTACTTGGCTTAACAATGAAAACTAGATGGTTACTGCGCCTACGGGAGGTCCCTAGGTTCTTTGAATTTTTTTTCGAGAACTGAAACGTGCTTACAGTACATATAAGTGCCCTAAATAACCCAAAAATCAGACCCAGGACCTACTCGATCAATTTTAAAATTTCGGCACGGCGGCTCCGCTGTGCTCCGGCGACGGTGATCCGCCTAAGGTTGGTAGTTTTCAGCCGAACTTGCATCGATTCCTGCGAGAAAATGCACTTAGGTCCTCAGCGGACCCAAAAAATACAGAAAACCCAAACTCACTGGCAGTTGGGCTCTCCGGTACAGCGGCTCATCCGACTCACATTGCGATTGAGTGTTTTGCTTCGGTCAACTTGTAGAGAAGGAAATGGCGGTCACAACGGTGGAAAAATCACATCGAACGAAAATTGGGAAAGGCCTCATCGAAGGTATTTTTTGAAACACCAAGCAGCAGCGTTATTCGGCCAATTAGCCGGTTCTTTCACTCCGATTTGGTCATGGGTGGGTTTAAAATTGAATTTCATGCAAGAGGAAATTTTTTTACCTCGTTTGGCGGTCGAAAATTGCTCTGGTACGGCGGCGGGTAGCAGCAGTCGACTCCCTGACGACTGGGCTGTCTTCTCTGGCGAGGGGCTCTGGCGATTAGGGTTTTGGTTTGGGTACGAATGGAGTTATTTATACCCACCACTTTTGATCTAGACCGTCCATCACTTTTAATCTGAACCGTCCGATCGCGATTAAATACGGAGTGAATCTGGGCTGTTCATCACAATTCAATCTATGTCGTCTATGCGTGATTTAATGTGGGTCATCCGTGCGCGATGCAATCTGCGTCGTCCGTATGCGTTTTTGATCTGAGCCGTCTGTGCGTGCAGGAACGGATCTCATCCGTTTGATATAGCGCACGCGGATAGCCCACGTGGCTCCCTCTCCCCCCCCCCCGGGACCTCCCACGTCAGCGCCTCTGCCACCTGACGCGTCCTGCTAAGTCGGGGCTGCTGACCGGGCAGTTTACGTGACGTAACTTTTTTAAATGCGTTTTGACCCTCCAATTTTCGAATTTCTTTTCGAAAATACCCTCAAAACCTAAATTTTCATCCCTTTTCTCTAAAATTATTTTCAATTAAATTCCTAACTAATTTTTTTACTATTATTATTATTATTAAATCAAATTAAAATTAAATAAATTAAATTAAAATCATATAAATAATAATTATATTTTTATATAAAATAATAATAATTAATAAAAATAATATAAAAAAAAAAAAAAAGATTGGGTGTTACACAGTCAGTACATAAATTTTAGGATTGTGTATAACTAAGTAAGGCAACACAAACAATCATTTATTTATTATGATACTGTACGTATATGTCATTTGATATTTCATTAATAATTTACCATATTTCTAATATTATAACGCTAAACCATTAAGCCATATCATTAAAGAAATTTAATTTTTTTTTAATAACTAATTCAATATGTGCATTATAGCAAAATTAATTATATGATTTAATACTATATACATGTATCCTTTTAAAATTAATTCAATAGATATGCAAGCATGTCATTTCCTAATATGGAGAAGAATAAATTAAATTAGACCAAATATATTTTAATATGGAAAAATATTAATTATAGATTTCAACAAAAACAGCAAACATTATAGCTAACAACAACATACCAAACTTATGTAGCACGAGCTAGAAAATTGGCAAGATATATGCATTTACCAAGATACCAATATATTATTTAACTTCCAAACGAAAATAATTTTAATATTTCTTTTATCAAAAATATAATTTTTTTTGCCAAATTAGAAGCTTTGCAAGAAAAAAAAAAAAAAAAAAGAAAGGGCTGACTAAATCCAGGGGGGTATATTTTTATTTCATAAAAAGAATAATTTTATTCGTCTAGAAGATAACAAATAATCTTCTCCATTAATGGAAATAAATTGACATGGGATTTTTTTTACCATTACAATACAAAAATACCCCCTGAATTATAAAAAAAATGATGCTCCTTTGGCAGTATTTCACTGTATAAATAGTGAAAAACCATTTCTACACACAACAACACATAAACAAGCAATCCTTATTTACAAATTCTTCAAAGAAAATGGCAAAGCAATCTCTCACCCAAATTTTGATTCTCTTCATTGTCTTCTCTGGTAAACTACATTGCTGTATATACATTCATGATATTTATTTTCTATGAATTCTCTTTTATATTATTATTGTTTTATTTTGTTTGTCGAAGATATTTTAGATTTAAATCCGAGCTCTTCATCGGATTTTTTTTCTAACTCAGCATCTCAAAAACTTTCACGTTAAAAAGTTTAATTTTTATTAGTTTTTATATTAAAGAAAAATGTAAAATTTTTATTTTTTATTTTTAAAAAAGTTATTATTATTTTCATAATTGAAATATTATCAATCCATTTTCTAACTGAGCTTATTAAAACATTTAAAAAAAAAAATTGGTAAACTAGCATGAATTGAAATATCTCTCTTGTCAATTATTTCTGTCAAAAATTTTTAGAGATTATTAAAATTTTGTTAATTAAACTAATATATTCTGAGAATTTTGACAGCTTTTATGGCAATTTCCGGAGTTAATGGAGCACCATGTTCGAAAATAATAGATCCGACCCAGTGTGATCTTGCATTTTGCAAAGCACTGTGCACAAAACAATACAATGGCAACGGATATTGTGTTCAAATTCAATCGGGTCCTGCCTGCCAATGTGACCACGACTGTGCTGGAGGACCCGGACGTTTATTTTAATTTCATACCTTACGTCTATCTTAGTTAACAATGTAATACCTTTTGGAATTACATTTATATAAATAAGATTCTTCCTACGATTATATTGGGGAATCAATTGTTAATTGCTCATTTAATAATTTATCCAAAAAAAAATTAAACTCATAATTCCAGTTCAGGATATCTTAGTAGTCGTCGTCAGTATTAACGAGTAAACTACATCTTCCGTTCTAACGATGCACAAAAATCACTTTTAACAATTGCAAATGGGAAAGGCAGTTTAATTTCCATCTCTATAAGGGTATTCTTCTGAAAGCTGCTTTAGTAGTTTTACCTGTAACTCATATGCGTCGTCCCCCTGCAGCACGTCGTGTACCCAGGTAACTTCAGTTTTCATGTTAACCTAAAAATATTGACAACCAAGCCATCAAGGGAAAAAAAGTTTATAAGAAAAATGTAATGCACCATAGAAAAATCACCCAGGTAAGGAAGTTAAATTGTCCAAGAATCAAGATAGGAAGAAAAAGCGGAAATGGATATTAACTGTAGGCAAATCCAAACAAACATTAGAAGCATTCACAAGAATCATATAACGTTCTCGTGAATACTCATTTATTCTAGTAAGTTGGCCAGGACTTAAATATTTAAGTGCTAATATGATTTCCAAGGCCATAAATGGGGAGAAAATTTTGAAACAGAAAAAATTAACGACTTAACCCCTAAATGAATTATCTCCCCAGATTGCTTCAGGAAAATCCATTAGCAACTGTATGGTGTTTAAAGAAACCAAAATTTCAGCCCGTTAATAAAATGAATATATCACTCAGGTGCAATAAAGAACAAGAGAAATGCACGAAGTTATCTTGCATATAAATGTATTTGTATTTGTAGTTAACTAATTGAAAATTGGACCAAAAACTCACCATCTCCAAAGCTACTCGAACTACTCCAGTCAGAAGGTTGCAATACTTCAGCGCCTGATATGTATCCGGAAGTTCAACAAAGTCTATTAATGGGTTATCCTCCATAACCAAACTGAACGACATTCCATCAGCATCCCAATTGCCAACAGATGCAGTGATGCCAAGAAACATCTTAAAACCAATCTGCGATTAAAATAAAAAATACCAGGAATTTGTTATAATTCTACCTCTGGTCTTCAAATGAAATCAAGTACGAGATAATAAGGGAATACTTTGAGCGACAAAATGCAAAGAAATTGGAGATTTTTCTCTATTTTTCCCTAAGCCAACTCACATTAGCTGAGCCTAAATCCCAAACCGGTTAACCTTGATGAGCTGAGCCTAAAGATCAAGCTTTTTTTAACTTTTTCAACCCATGTAATATTAGGTTTTTACATCATCCGTTTGACTCCAATCAATTTTGTTCACCAGCATCTTCCTAGATGATATTATATATGAAACATTTTTTATGCTTCTTTCCCACTGATTCATTAAAGTGCTAAAAGCTTGCCCACTCATCAATTACTAAGGGCAATGATATGCTGCCCAGCTTTCAGAGTGTTGACTGTAAGTAAATGAGCTTCAAGGAGGCTCTGTGAATGAGAGAAATTAGAGAGAGAAAGTTGATGATAGAGAGGGATAGCAAAACAGAGTAAGGTTATGCAAGCCTCTGTTTTTCTGTTTTCTGGAAGGCAGTTTTTGGAGAAAGAAGAAGATCGTATTTTTTATTTCTTGCTTGTATATATAGGAATGCAAATAGAAACAGATTACTTCAACTAACTGATCAAATTAGAAAGTCCGAAATCCATGCATACGCGCTGCATGGTATTTTCGTATCCTACCGTGAAACTGTTTCACGGTAGATTTGAACTAAAAATTGAAACTAAATGAATAAAAAAAATATTAAATTTAACACTCTCCCTTAATGATTTTTTTCACCAATTCCCATATTTCCTCGCAATGCCTCAAATTTAGCTTTAGATAGGGTCTTGGTTAGAATGTCAGCAAGCTGATCATCAGTGGAGCAATGTATTAGCTTGATTTCTTGATTCCTCTCAGCCTCACGTATTGCATGATACTTAACGTTGATGTGTTTAGTTCTCCCGTGCATTACAGGATTTTTTGCAATGGCAATTGCATACTTGTTGTCTACATACAACACTGTAGGTGTTTGTTTGTCCACCTTTACATCATCGAACACTTTTCTTAACCAAATTGCTTGGTTAGCTGCTGTAGCTGCAGCTACATACTCAGCCTCAACAGTGGACTGTGCCACAGTATCTTGTTTCTTAGACGCCCATGAGAAAGCACCGGAGCCTATTTTAAACAAGTACCCAGTTGTGCTACATGCATCTTCCACGCTTCCTGCCCAATCACTGTCACTGTAGCCGACCAATCCACCCTCAGCTCTTGTTTTAAATTGAACACCAAAGTTCCAAATTCCTTTCAAGTACCTCAGAACATGTTTAGCAGCTTGTAAATGTGATTCCCTCGGTGAAGCTATGTACCTTGAAAGTAAATTCACTGCAAACAGAATGTCTGGTCTAGAAGCCGTGAGATACAAAAGGCTCCCAATCAGACTTCTGTAATTCCCCTCATCAACTTTGCTACCTTTTTTCGTCCTTTGACAACTTCAAATTGGACACCAGTGGTGTAGACACTGATTTACAGTGATTCATGTTGAATTTATTTAGGATTTCTTTGGCATACTTACCTTGTGAAAGAAAAATACCCAAGCTGCTTTGATGAATCTCCATTTCCAGGAAGTAGGTAGCCTCCCCGAGATCAGACATCTCGAATTCCTTTTCCAATTTCAGCTTGAACTCTATCATCTTTCTTTTGTTGCTACCTGTCACCAGTATATCATCAACATATACTGCAGTAATTAGTCTGTCTTCATCTCTATTCACATACAGTGTAGTTTCTATCATGCTTCTCTCAAACCCATAGTGAAGTAAATATGTATTTAACTTATCATGCCAGACTCGTGGGGCCTGTTTGAGGCCGTATAAGCCCTTGTGAAGAAGATAGACATGTCTCTCCTTTTTAGGCTGAATGAATCCCAGTGGGTGCTCAACATAGATTTTTTCATTCAGTTTGTCATTCAAAAAAGGCTGATTACACATCCAAATGCATCACAGTCCATCCAAACTGAGCTGTCATGGCCAGAATGAGTCTAATTGTTTCATATCTGGGCCACAGGGGCAAAAGTCTTTGTGTAGTCAATTTCAGAAAGCTGAGAGTACCCTTTTGCCACAAGCCGTGCCTTGTGTTTGTTTGTTGTCCCGTCCGGATTCAGTTTCACCTTGAACACCCACTTTACTCCAATAGGCTTTCTGTCTGCACTTGATTTTACCAGAGACCAGGTATTGTTTTTCTCGATCATCCTGATTTCCTCTTCCATAGCAAGTTTCCACTCTTGCTGTTGAAATGCTTCCTCAACAGAGGAAGGTTCTTTTGAAGCAAAGCTGCACCTCTCATAGATGTCAGCTAAACTTTTCATTTTTGTTCTCCCTTCTGCTTCACCTTCTTCATCTTCTTAATCTTGTTCCTCAGCCTGAGTTGGGTTTAATACTGACATAGATTTCCTTCCTTCTTCCACTGTCACACAGTCTGGTTCGACCTTCTGCTTCTCCCAATTCCAATAGCTGTTTTCGTCCACTGTTACATCTCTTCGAATCATAAGCTTGTCTGTTTTCAAGCTTAGAATTCGATATGCTTTTGCTTCAGTACTGTAACCCAGAAATACTCCCAATTCAGCCTTCTCTTCTAACTTTGATCTCCTGTCATCCGAGACATGGTAGTAGCACACCGAGCCAAACACCTTTAGATATTTAGTCGATGGTTTGATGCCACTCCAGGCCTCCGCCGGTGTCATCTGCTTCACAGCCTTTGTAGGCAGTATGTTGAGCAGGAACACGGCAGTGTTCACTGCCTCAGCCCACAAGGCTTTAGGCAGGTGCTTGTCAGCAAGCATGCTTCTTGCCATTTCCATAATGGTTCTGTTCTTCCTCTCCGAGACACCATTCTGTTGAGGAGAATATGGTGCCGTGAGCTGTCTTTTGATCCCATTCCCAGAATAGAAATCCTTGAATTTGCTGGAATTGAAGTCAAGACCATTATCCGTCCTTAGGCACTTCAGTACACAGCCATTTTCCTTCTCTGCAATAGCCTTAAACTTCTTGAACTCATCAAAATTTTGAACTTTATTCTGCAGGAAACAAACCCAAATCATCCTGGAAAAATCTTCTATGAACAAGCCAAAATACCTGCATCCACTCATGGAGTTTTCTATCATTGGCCCACAGATGTCAGAATGGATAAGTGACAGCTTCTCTTCTGCTCTCCAATTTGCTTGCGAAGGGAAGGAATTCCTATCTATTTTTCCCATCTAACATGCCCCACATACTGACTCAGTGACTGTAATGTTTGGAAAGTCCTTGGTTAGGCCTCCCTTCTGCAGTTGTTGTAGCCCAGCCGCATGAAAATGCCCAAGGTGCCTGTGCCAAATCTCACCTTCTGTCACAGAGGCAACACTGGCCTTCTCGACTACTTCTATGAGCTTCAAGGAGTAGACTTGATCCTTCTTTTGGATGAAAGCGATCAATCTATCCTCAGGATCATATATCCTCTCAACAATTATCCTTGAATCCAACCGAGTAGCCTCGATCAGTCATCTGATTCACACTCAGAAGATTCTGTGAGAGGGTAGGAACAAAATTCACATCAATGATAAGCTTCCTACCTTCCCTGGTTTCAATGGCTATGTTGCCTTTGCCCTTGATGGTTTCCAGCATACCATTTCCAAGCCGAACATGGCCTGAGATTGTTTTGTCAAGTGACACGAACAATGCCTCATCCTTGCATATGTGGGAGGTGCACCCGCTGTCCACCACCCAAAGAGTATCATCCTCCACTAGCAGCTTACTTAACGCAACGAGAATTGTGTCACGTTGCTCACAGAAAACTTCGGTGACATTGGCTTGCTGTTGTTCCTGCTTTGGCTGCAATCCTTCCTGCTTCTGCTTCTGCCTGCAGAATTTCTCCTTATGACCAAGCCTTTTGCAGAAATTGCACCGAATGGTTTTCTTTCCCTTATACCAGCACTCATTTTCAGAATGATTTGTCAAGGAACAGATGCTGCATTGAGAATATTTCTTTTGTTTACTAGAATTTTGATTTTCAATTTGATTCCCTTCACTCCTTCTCACTTGATTCTGTGTTGAAGAGCTACTTTTGATCTGAGTTGAAATTAAGGCTCCCTCGGTATATTGTCGAACATGCATATTTACTCGTTGCTCACTGGATTGAAGTTTGTTTATCAGCTCAGCCGAGGAGATAAACTCAATATCGGCAAGCTCCTCCAAGACTGAGATTTTAGACTCGAATTTGGAGGGCAAGCTGATAAGAATCTGCTCTACTATCCTTGATTCTGAAAAATCCTCCTCAAGCAGTCTCATTTTGTTTACGACATCCGAGAGTTTGGATGCATAGTCTTTCACTGATTCATTTTCCTGCATTCTGAGTAATGCAAACTCACTCTTCAGTCTCAAGATTTTTACCTTCCTGCTTCTGACTCCCCCATCGAACTCTTCCTTCAGTTTCTCCCAAGCAGCCTTTGGTGATTCGAAGTTCATAATTCTTGAAAACACCCTATCCGAGACGGCCGAGAAAAGGCAAGCAATTGCCTTTGGTTTCTTGGCCTTGTCTTCCTCGTGCCTTCTGATTTGGTTTAGAGTGGCAATGTCCCCTAGTGGAGGAGGATCACTGTCATCCATAATAACATCCTATAGACTTAAGGCTTTCAGATGGGCTCTCATTTTGATTGCCCATACATGGTAATTTTCTCTGTTGAAGTGTGGGGGAGGTGAGGTTCCAATGGATGTCATCGGATTTTTGAGGGTATGTTGTTTTACCGGTCCTTTAAGATAAGGGCTCTGATACCACTTGTTGACTGTAAGTAAATGAGCTTCAAGGAGGCTCTGTGAATGAGAGAAATTAGAGAGAGAAAGTTGATGAGAGAGAAAGTTGATGAGAGAGAGGGACAGCAAAACAGAGCAAGGTTATGCAAGCCTCTGTTTTGCTGTTTTCTAGAAGGCAGTTTTTGGAGAAAGAAAAAGTACGCATTTTTTATTTCTTGCTTG